ATTACCAAATATTACCAACTATTGATAATTAATAATTAGTATATAAATAATTATGAATTATCATTAATAATTATTTGTTATAATTGAAATTGAGAATTTAATCAAAAAAATAATAACAAATATTCAGAAATTCTATGGAATTTCACAAAAGATTTTCGCGATTTCGTGATTCTAGAGTCAATCAATAATTTATTTTAATAACAATTTGGGACTGAAGTTGAAAAATGGTAGTAGTAATAATAATTACTTGTGATTATAATGAATGAAAAAGTTGTTAATAAAAATGAAATTTCAAGATTTTTCCTATCACTCCAATGAAAATTCCCATAAAATCAAAATTTATTTGTGAAAACTAGAAATTCCAGAGGATTGGAATTGCATCCCGACGATAAATAATGTTGAGAAGTATGACTTCAATAAATCAGAGACACGATGTCAACTGCTGTCCCGAAACTCCCGTTATTATAGTTTTACGAAATGTTTTTTCCCTCATTTTTTTCTTCTCTGTATCAAATAAACTCGAAGACTGTTCAATAAAAAAGGGGAGGTTAATGGCATTCTCTTTGTTCCCGAGAGAAATGGGAGTGAAAGCTATCGATAGGATTTCTACTCTGTCCTTTCCATTCCCAGGATGAATCCCTTTTCAATGGTGACACGTCTTCCGGCACCAGTTTTATTTCTTATTTTTGTTTTTATTTCTCTCTAGCCTCATCGACTTTGATCCACGATTTTCCCATTTTCCCAAGGGCTTGAGAACATTCGACGTTCAAGTACTCTGACTATTTTTGCGATAGCAATTGAAATTCATCTCGACGTTTCCCTTGCAAAATTCATTTGACGTACGACATGAATAATTTTTTTTAATTAATCAATAAAATTTCATTTAATCCATCTAGACCGACGAAAAATTTATACTCCCTTACCCAATTATTTGTTTTATTCTCCATTAGTTTATGATTTACATTATTATAATAATATAATGTATTCAATTATTAAATGAAAAATAAAAAAAATAATAAAATTCACTCGCCCTAAATATCTCGATAATTTCTTTTAATGATTCGAGTACGAATTAATTTTAATGACTCGTAGAAAAGTTCTTGACTCTAATATACCTCCACGATACTCTTATGTACTCGAAGTAAATAGGTCCGAGGGTAATCTGTCTCAAAGAAAGTAAAACTCGATATTAATCTGAAACAGTGGAGGGATCGTGACGGATGTCGTGAGAAACTCGATAAGACCCTCAATTCTCACTCATTGACTTTTTATTTCTCAACTCATTACTAATAACAGCCACGAGTAATAAACAGAAAATTACTTAAAAAAAAAATGTGTCATGCCCTGACGATAGTTAATCCATAATTCACCGAGATTTTCATGTAGATTTTAATATTCG